GAATATACTTTTCCACTTGGTTTGGACTATATTCAATTTTTTTAAAGTTTTTGATATGTTTCTCAAGCGGCAAACAAACTTAAAAAGTATGTTTAGTGCTTTATCTGTAAAATTATGCTAGAATGAAGATATTTTAGATGGTACGCCAACGAGAAAATGATGTCTGAAGTCAGGAAGTTTTGCTTATATTGCTGTATAAGAATGGCGTCAATTTTACAGCAACAATGTTAATTGTATTTAAATTGACAATATTTAACTATTATTTTGTGTTTCTCCACCGCCAGATACATTTAAAAAGGTTGCTAACTGTGTAAACTACAAAATAAAGCTAAAACAAAGTAATTTTGAGAGGAACACCAAAAAGATTTTAGGAACACTTTTCATCGCAAACAAGCGACATTGAAAAAAATTGCCTCTTAATCATCTATAAGTATCTTAAAAATAAGTATCATTCCCACATAAGTATAGTTTCCAGGGTTTTCCAGGGGCTACGTCGACTTTTCAAGGAGTTTCCAGGAGCAAAATAAAAATCCAGGGATTTTCAGGATTCCCAGGGAAAAGCTGAAAAGGCTATGTTTAATACAGGGAGATCCATCCATAGCCATCTTCTAAAGTTTACTGGCACTTATTGGAGAATACTACCAACATCTTCAGCGTGTTAGCTAGCCCATATACTGTCCGTTTGACTGACTCTTCCCAACTGAAGTAGCTAAGGGGCTTTCCCAACTGGGTCTACTGGAAGATTTTCATGTTTTTGATGAGAAAGTGCATTGCGTTTGATTTTATATTATTATATCAAAGAACATTTTATTTACTTTTTCCCATTAACTATTTTCTCAAAATGTATCGCGCTTCATTCATATTGGGTGTGTATTCACTGAAATGAAATGTACAAAACAAAGTGTAATCGGTGTGCATCCGTGTTCATTATACAAAACGAAATATACAAAACGAAATGCCATCGGGTGCATTTTTCAGTGTTCATTCAACGGAAATGCAATGTACAAAACCAAGCTACCGTTGTTTGCATCTAAGGAGAAACACGTTGGAAAAAAGCACTATTTATTCCTACACAAGGACTTTGATCGGTCAAAAAAACTTTCCCAATTTACGTTTAACGGACAAAACTTTTTTTCTGGCTAACACCCTGATCTTACCAAGAGGTCCTTTGGGTGGTTGATGAAAGCGTCCTCTTCTGACAGCAGTTTCAATCTTACGTAATAACTCTGGAACTTTGCTGCCAAATCTTTTCAGACTGTCCTTCTGGCCTTCACGTAGAGAATTCAGCTTTCTTTGAGATTGTTCAACGTTATTTCTCGCATCGTTCACATCGTTTCTAAAGAATGTTTGAAGGAAAAGCTAGCCATTTAGGAACAGGAATAAAATACGTTATTTAATTACCGATTAATTCACTGACAAGGGTACGTCTCTCCAAACCATATATACTCTGTGCATACCAGACCCTGGTAGCTTATTGTAGAATACTACGATACTTGCACTGGATCCCACATTTGAGATATTTTTCAGGGAGACAAACCACGACAGCTTATTGTAGAATACTACCTACACTGGACCACCACTTTGAGGTATCTTTCTCAGGTAGTTCAAACACAAACCACGACAGCTTATTGTAGAATACTACCTACGCTAGACCACCACGTCTGAGATATCTTTTTCAGGTAGTTCAGACACAAACCACGACAGCTTACTGTAGAATACTACCTACACTGGACCACCACGTTTGAGATATCATAATGAACAGGTGTCACTTTTAATACAAAATGATTAATTTAAACATGGTTTTATACCTTAGTTGATAAATCTGATCAGTTAAACGGGCGACATTATTTTCGACTTGGTTCTTATGATTGTTCGTTGTGTTGAGTTGAAACTGAAATGCTTGCAAGTTTTCTCTCTTTTCTTGCAGCAATTTCTCCCTTTCCAGTCGTTCCGACTCGATATCTTTCATTGCGCTGAAGGAAAACATCACACAAATATTTAGAACGGAACTCGACTATCGTCACAGAACGAAACTTAACCTAAGCTGTACTAGAAAGCTCTACCATTCTAAACAGTTCTTGTTAACATTGGTCCAGTATTAGTTAATAATTAGGAGGCATAGCAGGATTTTGAGGGGAAGTGTGTGGAGGTGCGCACTTCCCCTGAGATCGCTTTACACCTCCCCTGAGATCGTTTTGCACCTCCCCTGAAAAGTCATGCACCTTCCCTTGGTGAAGTTTCAATGATAGTTCAAAGTGAAAATTTGATCATTTTTGGTTGCTTAGGCCAAATAAAAAAAATAGTTGGTTTCAGGTTTCACAGCCATTTTTTATATGGGTAGGTAGGTTGGAAAAACATTTTATTTAAAAAAAATATTTTATCTCAAGTATGCAATAAATAGTATGTTAAAACTAATTATAAACTCTTAGTTTTTATTGTTTTTACATGCCGTGTTTCGCGAGAAACATGTTACAGTACATACAAGCCACATGTGTTTCGCGAGAAACAAACGCATCAAAGCATTTTTATCTTTTTTCAGCCGTAGATCCCATGTCAGAATACTGAGAATAATGAACGTTTTTAATATTTTATTCAACTGTTCTTTGTGTAAAACTATGATTTAACATGACTAGATAATGATTAAATTATAAGCAAACAAAATAGTTTGTAGACAAATGAGTCTGATGACTATTTATATATTCTGCTATTTACGAAAAGATGATCTCTACTGGGAATGTCAATAAAATGTTTATGGTCGGTCATATTTTTGACAGGTCGGTCGGAAACCTGAAACCAACTATTATTTTTATTTGGCCTTAGGGTTTACAGTCTACACTTCGAAAGAAACTTTTTCTGTAAAATTGAAACAGTGATAACCAAATCATTTCTGTGTCAAGTATCTTTTAAAGTGCATTTGACATGAATTTTTTTATTTTCTTAAATGAAAGAACTCTTTAAGCTGTAGTGCAACTTATTTTTCAGTTTCATGTTTTTATGGTTTGTTCCCGAGATATTTCAATTTGTTTGGTATGTAAATGAGTGCGAATATGTCCGCTAATTTATGACGTCGTGTTGGTTGCAAGCTCTTCAAGATGGTTGAATATCACGGCTATCATCCAAGATAATATTTTCTAACTTCACTCACTGGTAAATGTGATAAAATACTGGAGAAAAACGTGAACTGATATCTACAGTTTTTAGAGTTAATAGATATATAGCCAGTGTAAGTTGAGCTTGCAACCAACGTGACGTCATAAATTAGCGGACATATTCACACTCATTTACATATCAAACAAAATGAAATATCTCCGTAACAAACCATGAAAACAAGAAACTGAAAAATAAGTCACACTGCAGCTTAAAGAGTTCTTTCATTTAAGAATATAAAAAATGTCATGTCATATGCACTTTAAAGCAATAGTTTGAAATTAACTTTCAGTGTTACTAAATGAGAAAAATTGAACAAAGCTAACATTCTCTATACTGGATAACTCTCTCTAACTTTAATTAAACGTTCTCTCTAGAGGTCCAGTAAGGGCCCATCCCATATTCGTCGAGCGTTAGAACAAAAGAAAACCAGAGTCTATAAAGTCAAACTGGAAGCGCTCTTCTTACATGCATGCGAGTGAGGCAAAATTATAATCAGACAACTACATCCCTAACCGTAGAGGCAAAAGGCACACATTGTAAATAAATCTTACTTTGTGGTTATATCGTCTATCCGTTGCTGCAATTCATCCCTTTCTCTCTCCGTATTACGCAATTCTCGCTGCATCTTTTTAAACTCATTCTGAACAAAGAATTGAACGACATTCAAATTCATCATGACATGTATAAAGGTCTATTTACGCCACACAACTTTTGTCTAAAACTGTCGCATGCAACCTTGAGTTGTACTGTGTAAATCAAGGACACAACTCGCCTTGGGTAATTTTTGCCTCATAAGTCTCATAAGGTAGGCTATTCTAAAGTGCAGTCTTTCCGGATGGGTCTATTAGCTGCATGAATGCATGTACACACCTGATGCATTCGGACAACATCTTTCATTTTCTTCACTTCCTTATTGATGCTTTCTTGACGAACAGTTAGTTGATCACTCTCGCTGGAGATTTGGTCGAAGTCAGTCTTCACCTCGCCCCACGTCGCTTCTTTTACTGTAATAGTTGTCTAAGAAGAGAAGTATTTTCAATATATAGCTACAGATGGATATGATTATCAGGGAGGGGGTAATCTACCGAGTGGGTGCAGGTGGGTAGACTGTCTAACACCCCCCAGAGAAGTCCAGCGCCACCCTAAAAAATCTTCTTGACCATACATTTTCTGCTTTTTAATGGAACTTCTACTGTTAGCGTGTGTCGATTTGTGAGCTAACAAGAAAATACTCGAAATACTTTAGTTAATTAAATATCATGGTTAAATATGTAAACATGTCAAGGTTGTTATACAGCCATATTTTCAAATACACTGAACATTGACATTTAACAAGCATATTTACTGTACTGTGCTACAGCAACTGTCCAGTCATATGCATACGTGAGAAAAAGTAGAATCGCTCGAAACTCATGTACGTAGAGCTGTAAGTCTCTCCAGCTGATGAACGAATACCAGCTTCTGCTGAGGGCCACAGTAAATTTCTCTAATATAAACCAAACATTACCTCGCATTCCCGAAGTTTTTCATCATATTTAGGGAGTCTTTCTTTTTCAGTAGTAATGCTTGCAATTACAGGCTTCAGTTTCTGCAACATAAACAATCGTTTCCTTCAAATCAATAGAAACACACAAATGATTCTGATAGTCTCGCCGACAGGGCGTAAAACCAGATGTGTTTGAGGCAGAACTCAACTTGAAAATGTTAATGTTATATGTTGTCTAGTTTCCCTCAGCTCACCTCCTGTGCGGCAACACAAGAGACGAGTCCCATAAACAAATCTTCACATATATCACAATCAATCATGTTGAGAATATATAACAATCAATCATGATGTAATATATAACTATGAGCGCAAGGATGGATTCATCATTGGGAAACTGACATGAAAAGATGTAAGAATGCAAATATTCATACACAAAATCGACATGGGATACAGTATCTCAGACTGAATACTAGGACTTTGAATCCTGGTATCTCACTAAAGTACTCGAAAACATTTTAAATTTCGGACCCTGCTATTTAGACCACTTCACAAATTTACTACACGAATGCTAGAATTTTGAATCCTGGTATATTACTGAAGTACTGAAAAAAATATTTAAATTTCAGAATAACTACTCAACTTAGCAACTTATAATCAGGAGTGGAAAAAGTATCGGAACCAGAAATTTTTTTGAGTTGTGAGTTTTGCAGAAAATTTTCCAGAAAATATTTCAACATTTAGAGATAACTCTGTTTACTCAACTTACAAGTTACAACTATTCTACTTTATTTACACTGTACACGCTAACATCAGCAGCCTTTTAAATTTTTGACAGAAATTAATTCTTTTACCCACCCCTGCCATCACAAGGAGGTAAAATGGTAAATATATGCTCTGCAAAGTCTCCAATAAAATGCAAATTAAATGGTAAACAAATAAAAGTAATGGAATAAATAAGATGATAGGACACCTTACTAGTTGGTCATAACTCATAACTGTTGTATATAACAGACAATTATTGCGATGTACGAGCATACGAAAACCAGCCTAAAGCCTATTATTACTAAAGTACAAATAATACGATAATTATGCATTTGTTTTGTTATTATTGTAATTGTAACATTGCAAATTTTGCAGAAAATTTCTAGCCTTCGACCCAGGTTCCCAGAAAAAAAATAATTTTCCACCCCTGCTTATAATGCTCCTGTGTTACTGCAGTTTACTGTAGGTGGTTCTGTGTGAAGGTCCTTATTTGATACCACGAAAGGAAAGCAGTATCTTATATACACGGGATAGTTCTATAAGTTTGAAGAGCTTCGAAATAAAACAGACAGTATGTAGAGCTTTGAAATAAAACAGACAGTACGTACAGCAGATCAAGGAAATAATCCAAACCTTCTCTTTTTCTATAACTTGTGCCCAAGCAATTTCCTTTTTTAACCCTTCAATTTTTCCTTCAAGAACTTTCAACTGTTCTAAATCTCGATACTTTTCCTCAAGTTGATGTACCTCGTTCTCCATCTCTGGAATTGTCTAAAGTAAGATAAAAATATTTAATCATCCTTACTTGCAGCTGAGAGCTAAGCTAACAGCTCAACTTCATTGAGTCCAAGGTTTCTAGGACACCTCTAGTAGCCAACCTGATCACGAAGGACGTCTACGCCTCTACGGTGGAAGGGTCAGTTAGGGACATAACCCAACCGGCCCTTGTTAACATTCCCAGTGGGAAATCATCCCGGGAAGTGGGTATCATACCTCTTTTTTCTTCTCCAGTGTAATTGACATTATTTTCTGTTGTTCTTGTATGGTGAGGTAGTCATTGTTCATTTGTTCCAGTTGAGTTGCCTTTAGGAAGAACTGTAAGGATAGGAAATAAGCAATCATTATGTCAGTTGTGCTTATGATGGTTGTGATAGTGATGTTTGTGATGATGGTAGGATATAATGGTAATGATGTTGACGATGATGCATGGTGATGGTATATACCTTATACTTCTTTCCTGGATCTGATGCATATAAGAAATTTCTACTGGTGTCTTGGTTCAAAATTGACACTGGATTATCAATCTAAAACATAAATATAATTGACACTGTTTACACTATCGTATCGTCACACAATATATGTAACCATTAAAATTTTTATAACATATTTATACAAACCATATTTATACAAACAAAATACCTGTATATTGAACTGGTCAAGAATATGATTAAGCTCAGCCTTTTTGGTAGACACTGTAATGCCTAAATAAAGACAAATTGTCCAAGCTTTAGACAGAGTAATCTATGAATGAATTAACTACCATAGATTATTAGTTACCTTTTGCATTAGATATTTTATATGAGCCAACTCCATCACTTGAAATCCTTCTCTCGACGGTGATGTGTTGTCCATACTCTTCCGGTTTGAACGCATCTTGACCACAATTTTTCAGTTTAATTTTGATCACTGCAGTACTAAATCAACAATGAATTCATGTGTCAGGACTTAAAGCAAGATTTTTAAAGTAGTGGTGCCTTATTTTACTGGTAATAGCAGAGGTGGATCACGCCTCATCTGCAAGGAGAGGTGCAGGTTTTCCATGGGGTGGTGCATGAGGGAGCCTTACTGTCCACTCTCCTCTGCAGTCTGCAACGCTACTATCCCAACATTACCATTATTTAATTTTTAAGATGGCTGAATATACATGTTCACTGTTCTGTTACATTTCACATTACTGTTGTTTATAACATTTATATCAGCTTTTTATCACATACGCATGACTGGACAGTTGCTCCAGCACAGTATAACTGTTAAGGGAGCCACCTTAATGTTAGATGTTGTCTAGTTTCCCTCAGCTCGCCACATGTGCGGCAACACAAGAGACGAGTCCCATAAAGAAATCTTCACATATATCACAATCAATCATGTTGAGAATAAATAACAATCAATCATGATGTAATATATAACTATGAGCGCAAGGATGGATTCATCATTGGGAAACTGACATGAGAAGATGTAAGAATGCAAATATTCATACACAACTACAACCAACCAACCAACCAAACTATATATACAGTAGATCACTTCACAAACAAACTATACTCAACTTGGGGCCTGTTCAATCATATGGGGAAAAGTTAATACATTTGTTTATAAAGTTTATATTGGCTTTTTATCAGGTATGTGTGACTGGACAGCTGCTATAGCACAGCACATTAAATTTGCTTGTTAAAGTACAGTATATTTTGAAAATATGGCTGTATAACAACCTCGACATGTTTACACATTTAACCATGATATTCAACAAAAGCATTCTTGTGAGCTCACAAATCAATTATATAAATCGTTTCAAGAAATCGACACATGCTAACTGTAGAAGTTCCGGTAATCACCATTTGAAAAGCAGAAAATGTATAGTCAATTTTTTTAGGGTGGTGCTGGACTTCTCTAGGGGGGTGCAAGACACCACTAGGCAGGGTGCACACCCCCCCCCCCCCTGCACCCCAACGATAGACCTGCCCTCATTGGAAAAATAACTTCTTCAATGAAGCCAGCAGTAATACACATCTTGACCTTACCTGCATTTGTCTTTGACAAATCCTTTCAAAGAACTTCCTCTGTTTGTGTTTGCGGCCTTTCCGCCCAAACCAACCACAATGGCAGTCATAATTGCACTCTTACCACCTGAAAATCAAAACCCTTGCTGAATAACCATTTCTGAAAAGGTGTCTGGTTTAAAGTACCAGGTACCAGCACTCGGATACAGGGATGCCGGAAGTTGCTGAGGGCAAGGGGTGCAATTGGTTAACAAGAGGGCATACTCCTTAATAAAAGGCACCAATGAAAATGAAAGGGCGTCATGGTCCTACATTCGTGTCAACCTCCCTCCCCGTCACCAAATGTTTTCAGACCGAATACAATTATTTAGGCACAATTCCTCCGTAATTTCTCGCCAAAAATTCCATAAGTAATGCTTTCCGTTCACCTTTCGCCAAATGGATAACAACTTTGCCGAATTCCTGACGAATGGGGGGTGGAACACCCCCACACACATCCTTGAACGACGTTTAATTCTGTCTGTTGTAAAAGTTTTGTGTACCCGTTACACCCATAGTCTGCACCTGCACTGCACCCACAAAGTTGAAAATGCAAAAGGCAAGGGGTGCACTTGCACCCGCTGCACCCGTGGTTCCGGCATCCCTGCTCGGATATCAGACCTGTGTGATATTGAAGTCAAAATCGTAAATAAGAACAGATTAAGGACTTACTTCCATTACGACCGATAATAAAATTCACATTTGGTGAGAGTGCTACTCTCAGATGCGAATGGCACATGAAATTCTGAAGTGTAATTTCTTCAATAATCCCATTCTCGGCCTCGCTCTACAAAAATTAATTGTTTGTTTATTCGTTGGACCGAGGAAAACAGTAACCTGAAGTTCAGGCCCTAATTTGAAATAGGGCCTGACACAAAACCTGTCTAGACCGTGGGACGCCCACATGTTATTTTTAGACACAACATGCAATATGATTGACAAGTGTTGTAGATTTCGTTACACAAAAAATTACATTCTCATGAACATGTCCGCAGAGTGTGCATTTTGCTTTATAATTAAACTTAAAAATTCAAGGTACTTTTATATAAATAAAACTCAAACAAAGATTTAATTAGTCAGTTCTGTGCACGGCTTGGTGCCAAGCTTACTCAACGTCTCAGCCAACTTGCTGGACGCGGATATTAGGGATATACTTTATTAAAACTGGCTAACAACAGCAAACAATGAATTTGCAAACATATATTGAAAAGACTAAATCAGAATTCAGTGCATTCCAGCCAGTCACTGTTAGCAATGTCTACCATCTTTTACATGGTCTTTCTAGCAACAAAGCCACTGGCGTTGATAAGATCTCCAGTAAAATTATTAAAATAGCTGCAC